TCATATTATTGAGCTTCTGGCAGACCATCCTTTCATCTTGGTCTCAACAGAATGATGTATCAGTACAGGAGTAGAATCAAGAACTGATAGATGGAGTGATGGGAGTGAGATACTGAGATGAATCAGTGATGAATATTGACAGTTAGATATGAGGAGATGCAAGGATGGCAATGATATGCATCAGCAAATGATTGTCCATGAATAGAAAGTACAGGGTCTGGAGTAGGTGTACCCTGCTCTTAGGTCTAGTTTAGTGAAGAGCATCAGTTTAGCAGTTGCAATTTTGTCTAGAAGATCCTGTGCACAATGGATGGGGTAGGCATTCTTGATGGCAGCATTGTTGAGTTCTCAATAGTTTTGGCAAGGTCTAAAAGGTCACCATACTTCTTGTTGATGAAGAAGAAAGAAGAGGCCATGGGGACTTTGAGGGGTAGATATATCCCTTTTGTAAGTTTTCCTCAAGGAATTTGTCTAGCTCCCTGAGTTTGAGGGATGATAGGAGTGTGGCTTAAATCCAGAGTTCATTTCAATAGCATGATCCTAAGGCTTTGTTTGGGGTAGTCTTTCAGCCACCTTACTACTGAAGATGCTAGCAAAGATTGACAGGTACCTGGGGATGTTGCCAGCAAGAGTTTGAATTTCTTGGATTAAATGTGTCTACTGAATTCAATTTTGCCCAGTAATCCAATTGATATCAGGGTTGGATTTGTGGAACCAGGTGATACCTAGAATGAGTGGATTTCTTCCTAGGGAGGTAGTGTAGGCAGGATCTCTATGTTTTAAGGGCCTGAATTGCATGGTAGTGTGATCTGTGTTTCTTTGCAAATGTCAATGGAGTTATCCATAGCTTCTAAGTGAAGGAGAGCTTCACTGGTGATGGTGTTTGTGTTGGACTCAATAGTATAGTGTAAATAGATAGATCTCTGAGAGATTCTGGCCCTGTATACAGTAGGGGACAAAAGTGTTACAATGTTTGCAACAGTTGTGTTGCCAGCTAGACCTATATCTAATTAACAGCCATCAATATGTTGAACAAATAGTGAGACATACCCCAAGTTCTATTTATAGAACCACTACAATTGGTTCATGGATACTGCAGATTAGTGGATCTTATAATATCTGGTATGGATCTAGACATACAACCATTATCTCATGTATCTGATGAACCAGATATAGTTACAAGTCTAGACTGAGTCTAGTAGATTCCGGACAGAGTCTGGAAGAGTCTGGCTAGACCTAGCTGCATCTATTATTCTACAATGTCAGCAGATATGACACATTCCTTTGATGTCCATTGTCAGCTTCCTGGAGAATACTACCCCATTAGGCAGCTGGCTCATATTTAGTGTATGGTACCACTTTGGATTTATTATCTAATTAATTGTACATGTAGTGTCCTCCCTGTGTATATAAACCCCCAGGTAGTAATTGAGTATACTGGCCATACATTGGTCCAGGGCAGTGGCAGGATGGTTATTATTGATCAAAAGTTTAATACAGACCATGGTTGTTTTAATGCTAAGGGCAATGCCATTATGGAAGCCCAGTTTGACATATATATGTTACTCTATTACTTGCACTGGGACATTGTAACCAATAACAACTCCTCTTGATATTGATGTAAAAGCTGTGGGAGATTCACATTCTAATTGGGATCTATGGCATCACTGATTTGGACATCTGTCTGATGGAGCTTTGCATAAAGTTCCTTCTTTCACTAGTGGTTCTGGTTCCATTGGCTCTGAAGTTGACAAACATCCTTGCAAAGGCTGTAACTGGAGCAAATCATGCTGTCAACCTTTTCATGATTCCGAAAAGTGTGCCTATCAAACTCTGGAACATGTCCACACTGATAAAGATGGACCTATGCATACTGAAGCTATTGGTTGATGCTCACACTGCTTCATTACATTTTTGGACAACTATTCTGGTTTTGGCCATGCTTATCTCCTGCAGAACAAGTCTGACTCAATCCAAGCTTTCCTTAATTACAAGGCCTGGGCTGAAAATTAAACTGGATAGAAAATTAAGACTATATGCTTGGATTGTGGGAGGGGGGGGGCAATACACTTCTTCCACCTTCTGTGAGATCATAGAACATTATAATATTGAACACCAAAAGACAGTTGTACACTCACCTCAGAAAAATGGTTGAGCAGAATGACAGAACAGGACTACCACTGAGAAAGCTATGTCAATACTGCATTCTCAGGTCTTAGTCATGGTTTTTGGGCTGTAGCTATTGAGACTGCAGTTCATGTTTACAACAGACAACCAATGCATTGGATAGGATGGAAATGCCCTGTAACTCTCTGAGACAGATCTGAGTACAAACCAGATGTCTCATACTTTAGAGTATTTAGGTGTAAAGCATTTGTACATGTGCAGAAGGAAGATAGAAATGGAAAACTTGACAAGAAGGCTGTTCAGATGATTGTTGTAGGCTATGAATACAGTTCTAAGGGATATACATTACAGAATCAAACCACTCATTCATTCATTGTGTCCTCTGATGTGACCTTCAACAAAGAGTGTTTTCCTGCACAAAAGGTTCTGGATCCTCCTTCCCAAAAGGATTAAAACCAACCTGAATCATCTGATCAAGGATTAGATGACTTTCCAATACCTCTTCTAGAACCTACTTCTGAGAATCCACTATCAGTTTCTCAACAAGAGCATGAAGAGCCAAGGAGAGAATTTGAACCTCAACCTCCACCTCACCCAAGGTATAGATGTAATAAGCCAATCATTGATCACCCAATACAATGTCAATCACAATGTCAAAATGCAGGTAAGAATCCTTGGAGGAATCAAAACAATGTATATAGGGATGAACCACCAGTGCAAATAGTGTTGAGACCAAGACGAAAGGATGGTCTGCTAGAAGCTCAATAAAATGAGGACAACTAGAGTCCAAGATGAGCATCTAGAGATATATTAAATAGTAGACCATGTAGCTATATACCTAGAGTCCAAGATCAGCATCTGGAGAAGCCAGTATGCCTCGGACTCTGGAGTACAAGTCCTAGAGGAAACATGTACAACTACAAGAAGTGGCTGTAGGTATAGATGATGGAAAGTTGAACATAAGTGAGGGAATAATGAATGGAGAATAAAAGAAACAAGATGGAAAGATGAAGAATAGTGTAGGGAATATGGGATATGTGGAGTATATAGTAGTAAGAGTGCATTGTGAAGATATTTAAATAACAAAGAGCATGGAATGCAAAGCACTCAACTAACACTCCCCTTTGCACAGCTTTCTCAGCTCCTCCTTCATCCTCATCTACTCCAGACCGATCATCTTGCAAAATTCTTCTACCTTAGCCCGTGGTAGTGCCTTCGTCAGCAGGTCTGCAGACATTGCATTGGTGGGCACATAGCAAGGTGCAATAAACCCTGCATCCACTG